GGGTGGGCCTGGTGGCTACACTTGGGGGGCAAAGCTGAGGGAGCGTCCTCCCCTCCCCCCCAGTCCTGCTTGGGGTGCGGCAGCTGATGAAGCCTTCCGTGAGCACGGTGCCAGCACGCAGGGCCTCCCCCTGGGTGCCACACAGACCACAGCTGGGCAATGCCTTCAGCCTCTCATAGGTGCCCAGCACCCCTGGCCCACAGCTGGGCGGGTTTTCATATTTCTGCTTAGGAGGAGGCAAATACAAACACGTAAAATACTGGCACCGCTTTTGTGTCTTTGGGTTAGGTTGATCTGCTGCCTAACCGATCCAGGAGAAGTGAGTAATCTAGCCAAATCTAGCTTTCTTGGTTTCTTCTTGGTAAAAAATCCCTGTTAGCAATCCTGCCGTCAGACACCTTTTACACAGTGAAGGTACGGAAGAACCGCTGGCAAGCCAGGGTACTGGGGTGCTCACGTAGGCCTGCTTTCCAGCTTCCCTTAGTAGGAAAGAGCTTGTACTTTTTTCTGTTTGTTGACCTTTGGCTCCTATAGCATTTCAGGGCCCTGGGAGAAGCCAAGGGGCGCACGTCTCCTTTGTCTTGTCCAGATCGTCGTGGCTGCAGGCTGGAGCCTCTCTCTGTGCCCTCAGCCCTCCTCCTGTGTGAGCTGTCCTTTCTGTGAGGTGGTAGAGGTAGTCTGCCTACCCACGTGCCTGTAACAGTTCCAGAAGAAATGTCTCCATGCTTTTACTGAGGAAGACTAATTTGTGTGAAAATTTCATCAAGTCCTATAGCATGGCTGGTGCCATGAGCCAGAACTAAAATTTGGTTCAGTCTTCCGGTGCCCACTGTACTGTACTGTGAAGATGTTTTATTTAAGTGGCCAGAAGTCTTGAGGATTAAAAACAGACGGTTCACTCTGCTCTGGACCATGCTCAAGTTCATAGCCTCGTCAGTTGCACATTTCCTCACCAACACTCAAAATCCCCCCGGGGTGGAGAGAATGTGCTTAGAAAACCAGTAGCAACCAATACTGCTACCTGTTACTACAGATTTTGAAATTTTAAGATCAGGTTTATCTTGTCCTAGTGCTGATCCTCACATCAAGTTCTATAAATTTGATCTCCCAAGTCTTTCCCATCTCCGTTCTTCCCCAACATCACCATGCACCGCCCGCCAGGTCTCCTGTCCAACTGCTTAAAACCCTATCAATGACTTCCTATCCCACTTAGAAGATTAGGACCTATATTGAGGTCCACAGAACCCTGCGGGGCCTGGCCTTGCCTGCCTTACACCAGCAGCAGAGCACTTGACTCCCTCACTCAAACCAGCCACACCACCATAAAACGCGGGAACTGTGCATGTCATTTCACTTAAAAGAGTGAAATCTCCCATCTTCCTGTCTACTGGGTTTCTTCCATTCCCTTTCCAAATGCAGAACATCTCAGACCCTTATTACCAGAAGGCAAAATGAAAAGGGGTTAAGGGCAGTGCTGAGTAAAGCCAAAGTAAAGAGATCCTACATAAGAGAATTTGTCCTCTTTCTGGAAATCATTATTGCTACTTTCTGGCTGTAGTTCCCCAGCTGCTTGCCAACCTCCGATAACTTGAATGCACCACCCGTTGTCCTCAATTATAAAATCTAAGGATGGTAATAAAACCTCGTTTAGCATGTAATGAATAACACTAAATATACCAATTTGGGAGGCAAAAGTAAGAATGGAAGATTCACAAAGTGGTTCGGAGGAGGGACGATCAAGGAAAAAACGCCTTCAAGAACTTCCAGACTTCTCTGGCTAGGAGAGAGGACTGGTCCCATCCTGTGCCCCTCCCCCAAGGCTATAGGTTCCAACTGTCAGCAGTGCTTCACACATAAAATTGTTGTTTTGTATTTTTCTTTTTTATTGAGGTGGAATTCCCACAACAGAAAACTAACCATTTTAATGTGGACAATGCAGTGGTATTTAGTCCAATTAACGTTGATGTACGACCACCACCTCTATCTAGTTCTGAAACATTTTCATCATCCTTTGTTTCCTCATGTTTGGACTCCAGAGGCAGTGAAGGACTATTCTTCATCCTTCAGTTAATAGCCAGTAGAATATGACAGACAACAATCCTGAGGCGCCTGGCTGGCTCAGTTGGTAGAGCATCCAACTTTTGATCTCAGGGTTGTGAGTTCAGCCCCATGTTGGGTGTAGAGATTACTTAAAATCTTTTAAAACAAAACAAAACCAGATAAGAACCTTGACAGGCTCTGGGATCAAAGCTTCCCAGAGTGGGTGATCCTTTGTGACATAGCCAAACGTGTGAGGAAGCGGGTGGGACTCAGAAAGAGAGCTCTGAATAACAGCATTTCACTCAGGGCAGGGCTGCCCACACTGTTGTTCTGTCTAATTTCTGGGACAAGTAAGTCTGAGAAAGAGGTTTCTGTACTTGAGGACTTCTTAGGACCTTCAGTATGCTAAGGTACACTGTAGATTAGAGAGGGAAAGGGAATGAGGAAGTCTCAAACTGACCCTATTAGGAAGCCCTAGGCCCTGCCCCCAGGATGGTGAGTGGCTCTGGGCCTCAGGTGTAGAAAGAGTTTTAAAGGTCCTGATTCTTACCTGGCCATCCTAGGCAGACAGAACTTGGACCCCTCTGTCTACTTGGAGGAAATGGACAAAGAATCTCCCTGGAAATTCTTCCCACTTAACGCCCCCCCGCCCCACCACCACCATAGCAGGTTTCAAAAGAAGCTGTAGTTTGGCTGGTTGGTAAAGAATATACCACCCACACAACTGTATCCGTGTCATCTAACCAGGAAGACGGCCTGGTGAGGCAGTTCTGGGGAGTAAGCCCACATCCATGCTCAAAGAGTGCTTGGCTTAAAAAAGACGAGCTCTAGAGATGGTGTCAGTGGAGACCCACCATCTACCCCATTAGAAAGGGCCAAGAACAGGGGCGTTCCTTGTGGAGCCAGGGATCTGTCCACATGGCTCTGCCACTTACTAAGAATGCAACACACAATGCAGTTAAAGTAATTGATGCAAGGTGGGGAGAGTAGAAAGATTTGATTCATGTCATATTTCTTGAAGACCTATCTTACCTCCCTTTCTAAATTTATTTGGTTCTCTTGACAAAAGCCAAAAGGCATGGTATCCATAATGTCATCATAATGACAGGACCTACAGGACAAACATTAACAGGCAACCCCTGGCATAGAAGGGTCAAGAACAAGAAACGCAACCGTTGAAGAAGATAAAACTAAGGCACTGTGAAATGCTGGGCCAGGGTATGATTTCAGAGAACTGGGTTAGACCAGGGCACTTGGTGGCAGAAGCCTGGTGATCCTCATCTATTTTGTCCTGGGTTATTTATGAATTTACTTATTTATTTATTTTACAGTTTCATTCAAAAGGTTGGAAAAAGAGAAAACAATGGAGAAATAACAGTGAAAAGAAACATAATTCAAAACTTTTTAACTTTACATTTAGAGGTAAACATTTTAAATTGGCTTTTGCTTTTCCGTCCCGTAAAACCTACGATGAAGCTTAAGGTGTGAGCTAGAATGAGAGAACAAAGATGTGGTAGAGCAGGATGAGGTTGCATGCAACCCGTCCATAATGAGATCATGTATTTAAAGCACCAGGTACACCTGTATGACACTAGAGCCTTTGAATGGACCTGGCCGAGCCCACAGTATACCACCAAAAACAAAAACTTTAGTATCTGCAGTCCCCAGTATTTGTCTGGACTGCCTCCTGTTTACTGTTCTGTTTGCTCTTCCTTGTTCTCATCTTATCTGGCTGTCAGATCCATTGTGACCTCTGGGACAAAATGTGCCATCCCCCTCCCACACCCCCAGGCAAAAAGGTCCTGCCCTCAGTGCCTTCTCCCACTTTGTTCAGATATAGAAAGCGGGACCATCTCCTATCCAACCTCCCCAGGTGAGGTGGATATCCTTATTTTCACAATGTCGACTCCTGAAAGATCAGTGCATAAACTGGTGTGGACCTGCAGACCTAAACTTTAAAATATTGAACACCTGCAGAATTTTACAAATATTAGACTTCTGACGCCCTGATTGATGAGGCACCCTGAAGAAAGACGACTGATTTAACATGAAAAGTTTCCCTAAGAGGCCAACCATGATGGTGACGTCCCATTTACACTACAGAGTAAGGCCACTAAGGCAAGGAGGCAAGAGCTTTTTATGGAGGGGAGGGCACAGGGCAGAGCAGATCCAAAATTTCCACAACCCTGATTTCCAGCCTGAGGACTTTCCTAGGAACTATGGCATAAATGGTAGAAAGGAGCTGGGGCTTTTGGATCAAACGCTCTTGGTTTGTGTCCCATCTCTACAACTTTGTTTTGTTACTTAATCTTGCTGAACCTGTTTTTCTCATCCAAAAACCGGGATAATACAAGCTCTCAGGGTTGTTGTGCTGATTACATGAAACAATATATATATGAAACGTGCTTCGCTGCAAGTGGTTTTCAAACTACTGACCACAAAAGCATACACGCACCATTTAAAAATTATTTTTCACATAAGTCAGTATATAAAATATACATATTTAAATATACACAATTGAAACAAAGGTTTCACAGAAAGATTATTTACTACTCGAGAGTCACTTGGTATTTTCTATTTATTCTATTTTGTTTTTCTAAATGCCGGTTCAATTCACTACATTGTTTTCAGGACTCCTAACGGGTAACTACATAATTTAAAAAAAAAAAAACAAAACACTGTTGGAAACCATACAGTTGTCCGTAATTACGATTATTATATTCTCTGGTTTAGCCTGATGGCTGGGAATCTTCGTCGCTAGGGCAACAAAGGGAAGAGGTCAAGGTTATTAGGTCAAGCCCTGGAGAGCTCGTTGCCTGGGGAACAGATCGCCCCCCCCCGCCCCGCCCCGCCCCGGGTCAGGGTTGGTCTACCCCCTGCTCCCTGGAGCTCTGGAGGAAAGGAGTGGCCCAGGCCCCTATCACTCACGTCGGTAGCTCGGTAAGCCCGCCCCCACGCCCAGAGAGCTCGGAAGACCCACCTCCTCTTTAAGATCAAGCGACGAAGGCCGCGATTGGAGGCTCAGGCGGTGACGTAACTTTCCGCTTTGGCTGACCTTCCGCTCGGGCGGCTCTCGGGGAACATTTAGCGGCGCTCCCCGGTCCCTCGGCCCTTGCAAGTGCGATGAGGTCGGTTAGCTACGTGCAGCGCGTGGCCCTGGAATTTAGTGGGAGCCTCTTCCCGCACGCGATCTGCCTCGGGGACGTTGACAACGACACGGTCAGTGCATGCGCACTGCGAGAGACGCGGCCCGGCTCTGCGGCTCTGCTCAGGGTGGGGCGGGGCCAGGGAAGTGGAAAAGCCGCCCGCGGCGTGCGGCGTGCGCGTCGCGCCTGCGCGGTGGGGCTGGTGCGGTGGCCTACGGGAGAACTTGCGGGTAGCTTCTGTTCCCGGACGTCGGGACCGAATTCTGGTGTTCTTTTAGGGGCATAGATAACTGACCCTTTGCCTAAGTCAGTAACTTGTTCACAGTGGGTGCCTGGTAAACTGGTGGCCAGATCTCCGGTTCATTGCTTCTGTCGTGATGCCTTCTCCAGGGGCAGCACCTCTCAAATCATTTTACCTTTCGAAGTCTCAAAATAAGCTTACAGCGCGCCTTTGCTGCTATGACACGTGCCCCTTAAGCGGGAATACACTGCTGTACTTTTCTGCCTCTACCCCAGTCTTGCAGGGTTTCTATAGTGCCTGCCCCATAGGGTCTGGCAACTTGAAAGCGTTACACCTTGGTTGAATTACAAAAACAGTTTACATCTACCGTTTCATCTCTCCCCAGTCGTTCTTTTCCTCGTTGTTTAAATGAGTTAATACAGGTAAAGCAGGCAGAACTATGCCTGGCAACACAGCTAACGCTGAGTGTTAGTGTTGTTAGTATTTGCGTCTATTTTTCCGCAAATATTTATTCAACTGCCCATCGTGCGCCAAGGACTGTGCCAATTCTGGGAATTCCAGAATGAACAAGACAGCCCCAGCCCTCAGGTAGTTCATAGTCAGGTGGGGTGATAGTCACAAGAATAACAAAATATGCATTGATTAAAATATGTAAAGAGTTTTGGGGTGGAGCCTCAAAGTGGATGGGGGCTGTTGCTGGTGTGAGACACTCTTTTAACAGACTGCATGTTTTCATTCATTATTTCATATTTTTAATGCAAAGCACCTTATTGCCATCCTCTCCTACCCTCTCCCCCGTCTCCCCCATCTCCATATTCTGCCTCCTTACTTATTCTCACCTCCCTAACCATTCTGTGCTCTCTTCTCTGGAAAAAACAAGGGCTAAAACATGCCCCCTCTCCCCCACGCCCGCCCCCCTCCCCCAGCCTCCTTTGTGCTGTGATAGAGAAGATATTTTATGAGGCCTCTTTTGGCTGTCCTCCGTGGAGGGAGGAAGGAGTTATTCTCATAAATTTGTATTGTTTTCTGGGCTTTCACATTTCTTCATATGCCAAGCATTACAATTTTATGAGAAAATCAAGAGAGGCATTTTCAAATAGTAAATTAACAGTGACTTTAGGTGTGCATTCTTTTCTGTGTTATCTGATTGTCTTCTTTGTTTAAAAGGGAAAAGTACATGCCTTTTTTCATAGCTTCACAGCATCAGCTTTTTTGGAAATTGAACTTTTCTAAGTGGATTGCAGTAATACACTCAGTTATGCAATATTAGATATATTGTACTACCTTTTTTTTTTTTTTTTTTTAATCTGAGTTGTAAGCTTCATAAGGATAGGAAATTTTTCTCTGTTTTTTCACTGCTGTATTACCAACACTTAGTGCCTGGTACATAGTAGGCACTAATCAAATGTTTGTTGAGTAAATGAAGACAGTTATGGAAAGCAAATGTGATTATGTCTCTGAAAGCAGTTTGAAGGGCTTTGCCTGTTACTGATAAATATAGCTGAAAGAAGGGCAAGTAGTTGAGATAGTTGCCTAGTGATTATGTGTGGTACATTAAGCCTGCATGAGAGTGGATAGAAATTCTGTTATTATAAGGTTCCCCAGGCAAGCATTTGGAGATTTGGGGCAGGAAAAAGACTTATTTCATCCTAATAAATCAGTAGCCTAAAGTTCTTTGAAGCTAATTTACTTCCTGGTAAGTTGGGGGGAGGAGAAGGCAGAAATAGAATGCACACCCTCTTGGACTGCCCACAAAAAGCCTGGCTACACCAGGGGGAAGTCTCTAGAAGGCTGTAGCAGATCAAAGACCTCACCTCCTCTCTCCTTGAGTATTTCTGGTGATGGTACTCTCCAGCTGGGGTGCTTTAGTGTCAGTGAGTGACCTCCAGAGGCCAGAGCCAGGATCAGACACAGAGAAGCAGGACTGTTGGGAAGTTATAGCTGCGGGAAAGCAGATGGGCCACTTTGGTAATGTCCCCTTCCAGGAGACCAGCCATTACCTCATTGACATTGCTGTCTTGCCTGTTGTTGCCTGGCTGGGTCAGATCTACTTGCATACCGTTTTATGATTTTATTCCTGTGTCTGTGCCCTTGTTAAACAGTGAGGCTCAGCAGGGAGTCTGCGACATTTATCTTTGTACCCTCAACTCATTGTCTAGCTTTACCTGAAAAGTCAAGGGCTGACTGAGCATTCTTTTTTATTCTGATTTTTCTTTGTTCCTTAAAAAAATCTTTTTTGGGGGCGCCTGGGTGGCTCAGATTTAATAAATAAAATAAAATCTTTTATTTATTTATTTGAGAGAGAGAGTGAGCATAAGCTGGGGGGGGCAGTGGGCAGAGGGAGAGGCAGACTCCCCGCCGAGCAGGGAGCCAGATGTGGGGCTCGATCCCAGGACCCGCCCCCCGCATGATGACCTGAGCCGAAGGCAGACGCTTAACAGACTGAGCCACCCAGGCACCCCCAAAAAATCTTTTTTGTTATTAGCCTATTAAGTAAACCTTTATTGAGGGCCTGCTATGGACTATGGCATTTGCTGAATGAATGTATTAAAAATGGATTGTATGAAAGATTCTAGGGTCCCTAGCATTGGAGGCCTTTAACTAGAGGCTGAAACCACCTGGTGTTAGTGCTCACGCTATGCCAGTCACTGTTTTAAAGGCCTTGTGCTGTTAGCTCAATTTCACGACAACTTTATGTGGCAGATACCCTTATGATCTTTGTTTTATAGATGAGAAAATTTAAGCATAGGGAGCTGGATTCAAATCCAGGTAGTCGCACTGAGCCTCTGGGCCATGCAGCTGCTCTCCTGTGTCTGTCCAAATCCTCTGGGGCAGACGTAATGGAGACATCAGGTGGAGAGATGTTAACGTAAAAAACACTTACTTTATCCTTCTGTCATCTAATATTCCCACCAGAAACTCCCATAACTATTTAAAAAAATAAATTGAAGATTCAAATCAAGTAAATCATTATTAATAAATCCCAGTTCACTTTTAACTTTTCCTTACTGTTGATCTGTTATGTCTTTGTTGCCTTTAGAATTAAAGCTCTTGGGGCGCCTGGGTGGCTCAGGCGTTAAGCGTCTGCCTTCGGCTCAGGTCATGATCCCAGGGTCCTGGGATCGAGCCCCGCATCGGGCTCCCTGCTCCTCAGGAAGCCTGCTTCTCCCTCTCCCACTCCCCGTGCTTGTATTCCCTCTCGCTGTGTCTCTCTCTGTCAAATAAATAAATAAAATCTTAAAACAAAACAAAACAAAACAAAAAGAATTAAAGCTCTTGAGAATGTAATATTCACTGTTTTGAGGATAGGAAGGAGGTGTTGGCTGGCTCCGCCCCCCAAGGGGAAATCAGGAAGCTATTTGTGGAAAAGGGGTTTGGTGCTACCTTGTTACCACTGCTAGCCCCTGGAAAGGTAGCCAGCCTTTGGGGAACCACTGGGCCAGATACAAATAATGAAGAGGTTTCGCGCAGGGCGCCCCCTCCTGAAAGCTCGGCCACCACTTGAGGGCGCCAGAGGCCCAGAGCTTAGAGGCTGATGCCTGCAACCCCCTTCATGCTGTCCCCTGCTGCACCTCCATCCCCTGTGTTCACTCATACACACCGTGATCAAAAGGTCTTGCTGGAGAGAGGAGGACTCCCAGAGCTGACCTTGTCTTTTCATTTGGCCCTTGATTAAATACACAATCTGAAGTTTATAATTTTCCAAAAGTTAAATATTTTGGGTTGTTTTCAAAACATGTCCCATTGACAATGGACAGATTGGGAAGAGCTGAAGTCAGGCATGCAGGCCATGGAGCTGTTCCCTTGTCAGACTTTTCTGGGAAGGGTCATAGATTTCTTTCTCTCTTTTTTTTTTTAAAGATTTTTTTTTTAATTTATTTGAGAGAGAGAGAGAGTACAAGATGGGGAGAGAGGCAGAGGGAGAAGCAGACTCCCTGCCGAGCAAGGAGCCCGATGCGGGACTCAATCCCAGGACCTGGGATCATGACCTGAGCCAAAGGCAGACGCTTAACCGACTGAGGAACCCAGGTGTCCCGGGTTGTAGATTTCTGTATTGCCCCATTCTGCTAACTGCCCCCCCACACACACCCCTACAGGGAAATAAAGAAACTCTGGGAAACTATGGCACTGTTAGTTGCAAAAGATTTTTTTTTTTTTTTTTTTACTAAAGTTGATGAAGATACAAGTTGAGGTCTTGTGATGTCCCCAGGAGGGACCCCATAGAGAAAAGCTTGAGGTGGTTCCATAAGATCCCATCCTGACTAACCCTGTCTTCTCTCCCCATTCGAAGTTAAATGAACTGGTGGTGGGGGACACCAGCGGGAAGCTGTTCGTATATAAGAATGATGACAGCCGGCCGTGGCTCACCTGTTCCTGCCAGGGCATGGTCAGTGTTCAACTCCCTGGGGCTCGAGGGGCGGAGGGATCCTTCCTGTGCAGGGACTGTCAAGGCTCAGCTGCACAGGAGCCCGCCGGTATGTCTCAGTTCACCAGCTCCTCAGATCAGCTGCTGTTTCAGGGTTCATTTGATTCAGGGAGGGGAGCCGCCAGGCAGCGCGCTCCCAGCTGGTGGGCTGTTTTTTATTTTCTGTTGTGGAGTGGCTCCCTTAATACTTTAAAAGCTGCCGAGGTCATCTGATCTTATAAAGTATAGTAGAAAATGGGGGTAACACTTTGAAGAAGTCTAGAAATAGATAAACTGGCTATACTAGATATGAGACTTTTGTTCAGCCCAGACCGTCTTAACTACTTTAGGTCTTCCTGTTGGTGTCTGGGTAAACCAGACCCAAAGGGCAAGGACTCCATGAGCGTGAACTATCAGTGTAGGTCACATGGCACAAGTTTTCAGCGAACGATGGTTAGTTAGCGAACCCTCTCCTTGCTTCATGGAGTTTAAGGAGTACTGATCTCCCTCAGTATGTCTCCCCTTTCCTTTGCAGCTGACTTGCGTTGGAGTTGGAGATGTATGTAATAAAGGAAAGGTAAGAACCCTCGGGGACCTTGGGACTTTGGTAGAGCTCCAAGGCTTTACCTAGATTGATCCCCATCCCCTGGTGGAAACTTCTTCAGCCCTCTCACTTCTGTGCTTTAATAACGAAGCTCGTGCCCAAACGTCCCTCCCCAGTCCATCCCTCCCATGCCTCTGCCTCTCCCAGAACCTGGTGGTGGCGGTGAGTGCTGAAGGATGGTTTCACCTGTGTGACCTGACACCTGCCAAGGCCCTGGATGCTTCTGGGCACCACGAGAGCCTAACGGGAGAGGAGCAGCATCCAGTGTTTAAGCAGCACATCCCTGCCAACACCAAGGTCATGCTGATCAGCGACATCGGTGGGCATGGCTGTCTCTGCAAGCAGCCGGGGGGAATAGGAGTCAATGTGTAGTAGAGCCGCTCTCAAGGGATTCAGGGAGGTAGTTAGCGTTCACGTGTGCAATTATTATGCATTTTATGTTGAGTTACTGAGCCCCCATGATAAACTAGGTATCATTCTAGGCAGTGGGATTGCAGCAGTGAATAAAACAGACAAAAGTCACTGCCTTCTTGGACCTTTACTGGGAAGGGATGGAAAATAAACAGTGTAAAATGTTGTAAGATAATGAAGTCGTATATTAGAAGGTAGGACGTGCCATGGAGAAAAGAAACCACAGAAAGGGGCTAGCGAGTGTCAGGGCGGAGAAGTAGAGGTACCAATTCTAAATGGAGCGGTCAGGGAAGTCCTTGCTGGGAAGGTGACATTTGGTCGAACACTGAAGGTGTTAAGGGAGTGAGCCCCGCAGATACAGGGCTTGACGTTTTGGCCCGAAGCTGTCTTGAAGGTGGTGGTAGGTACGTGGCATGAGTCAGGACACTCGAGTTGGGTATCTGAGAGGAGCAGCAGGAGGGAAGAGGTGACAGGACCTGCAGAGCAGACCCAAAGTGCGTGAGGGTTCACTTCGGGTGTGAAGTTGTGGAGGGTAAAAGCGCCAGTAACAGTGATATCAGTGGAGGGACAGGGAGGACATATGTGAAGGATTCAAGCTCGTGACTACACATTTGGCTCCAGACGCATCTGACTTTCTGGATCCGCAGATGGAGATGGGTGTTGCGAGCTGGTGGTAGGTTACACAGACCGTGTGGTCCGGGCTTTCCGCTGGGAAGATCTGGGCGAGGGCAGTGAGCATCCGACGGGGCAGCTGGTGTCACTCAAGAAATGGACACTGGAGGGTCAGGTGAGAGGCTGAGTGTGGGGCTCAGGGGCCTCAGGGGGCAGGGAGGAGGCCCTCCTGGAGGGGGCTCCAGGGAGAACAGTCGTGGGCCAGGGTTTAGGGTGGGAGGAAGGGAACATCTCCGTGTTGAGAGAAATCCAAAGAAGAGAGTTTCAAATCAGGGTCTTAGGGGCAAATGACTAACCTTAGGCAGAGAGGAGGGAGCACGGGGTAAGAGTTAGGAGGGTGCAGGTGGTGTGATGTGCTCTGCGGCAGGGTGTGGACCCCATAGGACAGGTGCACAGTGGAGAGCAGGTGGGCTGTACGGAGAGAATGGCACCGGGCAGGAGCCCCGTGAACTCACATTCTTCCTCCTGCTGCTGCCCTTGAACCCCGGGGCACGGTTCCCAGGGCCCCTGCCCCATGCTCTCCCCTGTTCTCTGCAGGGTCCCATTTCCTTCTGTCCCCAGCCCTCTATCAGCCCCTGTTCCCTGGTGCAGGTAGACAGTCTCTCAGTGACTCTGGGGCCCCTGGGTGTGCCAGAACTGATGGTATCTCAGCCGGGCTGTGCGTACGCCATTCTGCTGTGTACCTGGAACAAGGACACCGGGCCGCCCCCTACCTCAGAGGGAGCTCCGGAGGGCAGTAGGTAAGGGTGCAGGCCTGTGGACGGCGTGGGGTGCATGGAATCCAGATGGGTGCATGGAACTCCAGAAGTGTCTGTAGTTGACAGAGCTGCTTCAGCCGGGTCCCGGCACAGTACCTTTGCCCCACTAAGGAAGATTATTTGGGGACCCAGGGAATCCTGGGCTTTAACCTTATAACACCTGGAGGAGATTCCAAGATTCTAACTTGGCAGCTCTGTCGCTCTCCTTTCTACTTGCCACATGGGCCAGACAGGCTCAGCAGTCGGTTTCCAGGCTGATTCACATCCTGGGAGCTCATACAGAGATTGGGGCTACAAAAGTCCTGGAGAACTAGGCTCCCTTGATCCCCACTTAGTACCCCCCAATGCCCCACACAGGGAGGCCCTAGCTGCCCGAGATGTCATGCTGCACCAGACTTCCGGCCGCATCCACAACAAGAACGTCTCCACCCACCTCATTGGCAACATCAAACGAGGTGAAGGTGGGCTGGGGGTGCAAGAGGGAGCCGGGGAGGGGGTGAGCATCAGTCCTGGGAGAGCGGAGGTTGCAGGGCCTTCCCTTCCTCCCCGCCTTGGACCGCCCCTCACCCTGTACGCGCTCTGACCTTGCCCTGCCCTTCACGTTTTCTTCTTCCGGTCCTTCTGTCACACCCACAGGCCACAACGCTGAGAGGGGCGGCTCTGGCCTCTTTGCCCTCTGCACCCTGGATGGTGAGTTCCTGCGGGGCTCGGGGGCTGTGTGCCTGTGGAGTCAGCTCAGGGGTCCTGTCCCGCCCACCCTGGCCTGCCTGTCCCCCGCACAGGGACACTGAAGCTTATGGAGGAAGCAGACAAGCTGTTGTGGTCAGTGCAGGTGGATCACCAGCTCTTTGCCCTGGAGAAGCTGGATGTCACGGTGAGAGGAACATTCTTACCTTCTTGACGTGGGGAGCTGAGACTTAAGTGAGACCTTTTCCTTCCACGATTCCCTCTCCACCTTTATCTCCGTCTCTTCAGACGGACTCTAACTGCGTCTCAGGTGTGTCTGTTTCTCTGTGCTCCTCCGTGCTCAGCACTGTCCCCTTCTCGGCAGCACGTGGCCAGCGCCCTGGGGCAGCAGTAATGGCTCCAACGAGAAATGAGTTGTTAGGGTCCAGAAGTGAGTTCCTCGCCCCAACTCCAGATGTACGTCCTGTCACTGTGTTCTCATCTGTCTACGAGCCTCTCTATGCTAAGGCCGCGGCCCCCGAGTCTGCAGATGGGGCCAGGCTTTGCCGCACCATTGTGCACGCGGGATGGTTTAGGAGAAGAGGCCCGAGGCTTTAAAGCCAGGAGAACAGGCCTGGGTTGAGCCTGACTCTGCGCCGCCTCCCTGCCCTGCTGAGTGACTGCGCGTGAGCGACTTCGCTTCCGTAAGCTGGAGTGTCCTCCCTGGGAGGCTGGGAATACCGTTGCCCACTTCATGGGCTGTGTTGCCACAGACGCGCGGAGGGAGTTCAGTAAGAAACTTAGGCTCGTTTTCTTTCCCAGCTGGCTGTTTGTCACACGGGGCCAGATGCGCTGCTCCTTCATCTTTCATCCAGCCCCCATCTCAAGGGCTCTTTGTGCAACATCTGCTGGCCACCCTTGCAGCCTGGTCTCCGGCCTTTTTCAGGGCAACGGGCGTGAGGAGGTGGTGGCCTGTGCCTGGGATGGACAGACATACATCATTGATCACAACCGCACCGTCGTCCGCTTCCAAGTGGACGAGAACATCCGAGCCTTCTGTGCAGGTGGGACTCTGGCCCGTGGCCCCTCTCTAGCCATCGCTTGTCTGCCTCTCATGTCCACTCTCTGCGTCCCCTAACATGAGGCTTCATAAACAAACGAGCTCTTCAGCACTTGTGTTAGAGGGTGATGGGGGGTTCTAAGTTGCCATCTGTACAGTTTTTTTGTTTTTTGGGTTTTTTTTAAGACTTTATTTATTTGAGGGTGACGGCAGAAAGCACAAGCAAGGGGAGGGGCAGACAGAGAAGCAGGCTTCCCGCCGAGAAGGGAGCCCAATGCGGGGCTCAATCCCAGGACCCTGGGATCATGACTGAAGCTGAAGGCAGATGCTTAACCGACTGAGCCACCCAGGCGCCCCTTACAGTTTTAAATAAGGAATAAAAGAGAGTGACAGGTCCATCTCTGGATATCTTCAAGAATGGGCTGAGTTTGGAGTGCCTGGGTGGCTCAGTCGGTTAAGTGTCTGCCTTCGGCTCAGGTCATGATCCCAGGGTCCTGGGGTCAAGCCCCATGTCAGGCTCCCTGCTCAGTGGGGAGCCTGCTTCTCCTTCTGCCTGCCACTCCCCCACTCATTCCCTCTCTCTCTATCTCTCTCTCTCTCTGTCAGATACATAAATAAAATCTTAAAAAAAAAAAGACTAATTCAAAAAATAATAGGCTGAGTTCTTATCATCTCTCCGTCTGGGATGTGTGAAGACACTGGAAAGTTCTTTCCCATCCGAGCATGTCAGAACTCTGTGAGGAACATTCTCCCAGAGCATTCGCATTAGTTCCAAATCAGGAACTTGGAAGGCAGCACTGGCCCTTTCAGGGGACATGGGGATATCTTTGGTTGCTGAGATGCTAAGAATTGCACAGGGCTCTGGGGTACATTCTCCAATGTCCTGAAAGGTTAAAATGACTTTGAAGAAGGGATTGCCACCAAAGAGAAGCCCGAGTCTCTGATTGCGTTTTGCTAACCTACCACTTGGACTACCAAGACTACCCTTCATTCCTGCAGGGCTATCACTAAGATGGGAAAATCAACAGCTCTCACTTTTAGGGTGCTATTCTGCCTGGTGTTTTTCCATATGTGAAATGGGCCACGTATTTTACCTATTTTTCTGAGTTCCCACCACAGAAAGAGGGCCTTCGGTTTTCTGCTTGACATCTGTGGGAAGGTGGAGACTGCTGACTGCAAGCCCACATTGTGTACTCTGGCCTTCCCCGCTGGGACTGGAACTCTCTGACCTCTGTCTCACCCCCCACACCCCTCAGGCCTCTATGCCTGCAAGGAGGGTCGCAACAGCCCCTGCCTCGTGTACGTCACGTTCAACCAGAAGATCTACGTATACTGGGAGGTGCAGCTTGAGCGGATGGAGTCGACCAATCTGCTGAAGCTGCTGGAGGCTGAGCCAGAGTTCCAGAGCCTCCTGCAGGAACTGGGCATGGGTGAGTCCCAGGAGAACTTGCAGCTGGAGCAGCCCCGTGCCAGGCGCCCAACCTCTGACCCACCCCTTTCTTGCCCTCAGATCCTGACGATGTCCCAGCCGTCCGTGACCTGCTTCACCAGACCCTCTACCATCCGGACCAATCACCACAGAGCGCTCCTGCGAGCCTCCACATTCCCACCTAGCTGGACTTGCCTCTTAGCTGAAGAAGGAGCCTTCTGAACCACCCCCCGCCCCAGGTATCCATGGTGCTGGCAGAATAGGGAGCAAACATCACAGAGGAGCATGGAAGGATGGCAGCCACCCCAGGGGGGCTGTAAACTGTAGCCTTCATGGTCTTCTTGGTGAAAGAAGAGGCGAGTTGACCCTCTGTCCATTTCCTTGTGTACCTTACGCATCACATCGGCAGGATCATAGGGACCCCAACCTCATTCCACATCATCTGGGACCGCCCCCTCCCCAGAGCTCCCCACTTTCCTTATGTGGCAAACAGACTTGTTTGTGAGCAGGGGGCACAAATCTTATAAGGTGCTTGCTTGTAAAGAAAGCAGGCTTTGGGGCCAGTGGAGCAATGAGTTAAGGGCGCCCCCCCCCATTCCGAGCTCCAGCTCCCTTGGCACAGCTCCAAGTCATTGGAATTAGTGATTATTGCAGAAATGGCCCACCGTTTTGCTTTTGAGGAGAGTCTTTCAGGACATTTTACACTCTGGTCTTAACTGTTCCCAGCAACCCTGAGATGATTTTCTTCAGTTTAGCAAAGAAACAAACCGGGGCCTAGCACTTTCTCATTTTGCCATGTTTAAGTATTGTGCAGCTTTGTAGGCCTTGCTCCCATTTCCCCCCAGAACACTCCATCTGTGAGACAATGGACATTTAAAATCTGATGCAGGTTTAGAATCCAGACCACAATCAGAATTATATCTTGGGCCAAGTTTATCCCTTCTGCTCTCGATTCTGCACGCTCTAAGTCAGTGTTTTTTCACATTACAGGTTGCAATCCTTTGGTGGGTTGTGGTCAGCATTTTTTGGCTAAATGAAATAGGACAGAATAAAATGGAATGAAAAATATCAGAGCATATTGCTCACGGTATGGGGAAGTATTGTTTGTTGTGCGTGTGCGTGTGTGTACTGAGTACAAGGTAAAATGCATTTCCTGCCATGAGTTGTGTTCAGGGGAGTTTGAAACCATTGTTCTCAATTATCTCGACCCAGCCGGATGGATCAACCTGGGGGAAGGTCCACATTCACACTGCCTTTCTTTAAGGAAGCCAGGGCAGAGTTATCAGTTCAGACTCTGATCAACATGGAGGAAGACCAGAGAAGGAGATTAGCATAGAGAAACAGGTGTTTATTCAAATGGAGAAGCAGCTGAGCTGAAGGCCTGCCCCTGGGACCGGGGTCTGCAATTACAGAAGCAGCAAGAGGAGGAAGGGAAAAGGCAGGGCCAGGAAGGCAGAGGTGATGGGGCGAGGCAGGAGGGACGAGGGGATCCTTTTTTTTTTTTTTTTTTTAAATATTTTATTTATTTATTTGAGAGAGAGACTGAGAGAGAGCATGAGAGGGGGGAGGGTCGGGAGGGTCAGAGGGAGAAGGAGACTCCCTGCCGAGCAGGGAGCCCGATGCGGGACTCAATCCAGGGACTCCAGGATCATGACCTGAGCCGAAGGCAGTCGCTTAACCAACTGAGCCACCCAGGCGCCCGGGACGAGGGGATCCTTATTACACATGTGCTAGTGAGCCCCCTCCTCTTCTTCTGAGGGCAAGGAATGCAGCAGGGAGAGGCAAGACCAGAGGTCAGAGGGCAGCTGGGTGGTATCCTGCTTCTTCTCTGATCTACCCCGGACTCATGATTTCGTTTCCACTCCAAGGGCCCTAGTTTCCTAGCTGAGGTTAGTTAGACCACTCTCTTCCTCTACCCCTAATCCATGACCCGAGGGACTGAAACCAGCCAGAAAGACACTCAGGGGTCTGGCTTCTTAAGGTCTGGGTTCCTGTCTTCACAGGGAAGGTGAAAAGCCTCCTTGTCTTTTCGCTTTGGCTCAGAGCCTGGCGGGGGCTAGAAAGCCACTGATTCCAAAATAAGACAAGCTCAAGCTCAGGAGGCCCTAGATGCGGGGAAGGGAGAAGGTGAGGTGAGGTGAGGAGTTCTAGAAATAAGAAAGAATACTGGTTAGGTGCAGTCTGAGTACCGAGCACCCTGACATCCTGTCCACCTTGTGGGGCCAGTTCCTGACAGCACTCCTCCAACACACCCCACCCCTCCCTGAAATTCAGGGTCCCACTGTGTAAAAAAACAAGTGGAGGAGAAGAGCTGCCTGGAGAAATAGTAGAGGTCCATCCAAGGTCTTGCACAGGGTGATCACTGGCTTCAGATGTTGGCAACCCCAAAAAAGGTAACTAAGGAAGCTCCCAGCCTTGTGAGCCTGGCGTTCCTCTACCAACTCACCTTCCCATTGCATTGGAGTGTTCGGTTGCCTGTTTCCTCCCCCACTCAACTGTGAGCAGTCGTGTGCAGAATCAGAAAGGTGGGCGTCAGCAGGGACAGGGCCCCGGGTGGGTGAGGTGCGACAGTCTAGTTGGCAAAGGTAACGAGCCCCAGAAGGTGAGGGGAGGGGCGTGGGAGTGAAGGCCACTGAGGGTGGGTGGGGTGGATGGCGGGGGACAGGTGAAGGACGGTAAAGGCTGCAGCCTTTGACTCAGGCCAGTTCCTACGATGCCACGCTTAACATCCTTTTCCGCCATCCTGACTTGGAGGGGAACGGGAAGAGAGAAGCCAGGCCCCTGAGATCACAGGCCCTCTGTCTGGAAGACTCCTGGAGGATTGGGCAGTGGCTGAGAAGCAGAGAGGAATGTGGCTGACTGAGGGACGGCAGGGTCAGGGTGGCAACAGGAAGGACAGACACAGTCGTCCCCAGCTACCTGGCTGTAGTAATGCCCCATTCCCCCCCATACGGCTCTTCCCCAAGGCAAGGTCCTTCCCCTGGGGACCGACTGGTTCAGCAGTCACTGGCCAGGCTCTTGGTACAGAGGCAGGAAGGGCAGCTCTGGGAAGGGGGCTCTCAGGCGCAGTACTCCACGCTCCAGGTCGATACAGCACTGTGGGGGAGGGGAGGGGACGGGGCACCTGACTCAGCAGGGAGCCCCTCTCAGGCCCCTCCCACTTCCCACAGTCTCCCCCTACTTCTTGCTTTTGCCCCCGTTTCCATTCACCTGGAGCCCTGGGCTGGGGGGACAGTGGGACCTGGTTCTTATTTTTCACTTGTGGGCAAATAAGGAACCTCTAAGGAAGCGAAGGTGAAATCACGACATCTCCAGGTCTTTCTCATCAGAAGCTGAGCCCCACTTCCACGCCTGTGCCTTTTACCTCCTTTTCCCAGCCCTTTGGGTCAGGCTCCAAGTGTGGGTCAAGCGCTAGCATCCTCCTTACCTTGAGAGAAAGCAGCGTCTGTAGCCCAAGGCAGAACTCGGGACTCTCAACATCTGCAGGAATCATTTGAAAACAGATGAGGCTGGAGGGGCCCCCAGTGGTCACGGTGCCCTCCTGTCAACGCTTGCTCCTTGTCTGCCCACCCCCTCCCCCAGGTCTGAGGATCTGGGCCCAGAGACTGGGGACACCCCAGCCAGGACAGGAAGAAGAGGGCTGGGAATGGAGGGAGGACTCACCCACCACCTGAGCCGAGCAGGCCACCGTCTCCTGGCCCAGCTGAAGCTCCAGCTGCTCCACCTGGGTGGGGGGCCCAGGTGCTAGGCCCCCCCCCGGGGCTTTGAGGACCTTCCCTAACCTGTGTTTGGGAAGCAAGGGTTATGGCCACCCCAGCCCCAGCCCCTTAGGCAGCTGACACCCCTGCCCACACACTTGGGTTCTCATCCAATCCCTTGGCCCCACGTGGGGTCTAAATCCTTGTCTTTGCTATCAGAGCCCCCCCATCAAGTCTTTTTTTTAAAACTACAGCTTTCTCGATATATACTTGATAGACCACAAAAGTCACCCTTTTATAAATGCAGTGGGTTTTAGTAGATTCGTAGAGTTATGCAACTACTACCACTATCTCATTTCAGAATATTTTCTGAATATTTTCCGCCATCCATTCTTTCGGGCCGCGCTCTTACCCCAGGCGGCTGAGGCATCCAGTGGAAATCTGGTTGTGGTGGGTGCCTGTGTCCACGGCCACCCGAAGCTCCTGGTCTCGGCACTGAGAAAGAGGGGCGTGGGGGACTCCGTGAGCCCCCAGGGGGAAGGGATCGGGCTTGGATCCTTCACCTTTCCCAGCCCTTGGATGTTTCCCTCTCTGAAAAGAGTGAAGGGAAAGAACCCAGTCTTTCAAAGTGATTTTTATGGCACTCATCCAACTGAGGCCAAACCGGCTCTTAGATGAAGGAATCAAAAAAGGTAGTAGAGCTCCCCGTGGTGAGTCCATACACTTGGGAACGGTTTGACCAGAAATGGAGATCTGTTCGTGGAGAGGAATTCTTGGGAGGCTGAGGGCCTAGTTTAGAGAGGTCTGGGTGAGGGATAGAGGAGCGAGTGAGACCAGGCTGCCGGGAACTTCACATGTGGGTAAGCGACAGGCTCACCATAGAAACGACCGGTTCGCTTTCTTCTGGAAATATACACACATTATGGGTGACGCTCAGATATCCCAAATGCATGCAATTTTCTCATTCCAGACATTTATTGAGCACCTACTATGTGTGAGATTTGTGGCTGGAAGGCACAGGGGTGAATGCTGTGCTTGGGTGTATGGCACGTAACCCGCATGCTAGAAAGTGTTAAGGTCTACGAAAGGATTGGCAGTGACGTGCCCTAGACGAGAGGCAGGAGAGGCTGTTTCCTCCTGGGAAGGTCAGGAAAGGCTCCAAGGAGGAGGTACCATTTGAGGCCTTAGGCTGTCACCTTGGAACACACGAGCTTTTTCTGTGGGGGGGGGGCGGTTGCAGGATGCCTACGTGCAGGCACCGTTCACGGACGGAGAAGGCACTGAAGAGTACTCACACGTTCGCATTCGAAGATTGTATTTGCTAAAGGGAAGGAGGAATGACGATGACAGGTGGAACAGCACGGAGGGAAGATGGGTTGAGGCAGAGAGTAAAGCATGTACAGGATCCCAGTTTTTGGTCCAGGCTGGGGGGAGAGGTGCCTTTTCTCCCTCCCTCCTTCCCTCACCACCCAGGGGAGAAAGGAGGGTGGCTGAAGTGAGCCAGTCACAGGCAGGATTGTTCATGAAAGCCAGTGCCCTGGGGAGCCTCTCACCTTGCAGTTGACCAGAAGAGCCGGAATCTCTGTCTTGCTGGTCTTCCTCCTGCTCTCCTGGCCATGAATCAGGGCCTGCACCAGGGGAGACTCCCCCTGAAGCTGACTCTGGTTTCCCTCCACCAGGCGTCTTTGGATCACGCTGTGCGGCTGCTGGCTCCGTCACAAAGTAAAGAAGGCAGACAGGTCTAAACCCGAGTCTCCAGGCCACTCACTTCTCCCACCTTAGTCATCCCACGATGATCCCCAACCCCACCCCGGTCCTGCATCTCACGGGAGTAAGAAAGGGGCAGGAGCTTACCCAAGGATCCCAGAAGTCAGAGCATTATAGCAGAGTGAACCCCAGGATCACATCATGCCAGTTTGCTGGGATCCCAGGAGATGGCTCAGCAATGAAGAAATGGGAAGAGAACAGTCCATTCTAGGTCAGACCGACCTATAGGCCGACACAACCTCTCAGGGACTAGTATGCGTGGGGAGCTTTTATCTCTGGTGTAGAGCACATTATTTGTACTTTTTTTTTTCTCTGTTTCCCCCTTTGACCTCACCCTTCCATGGACTGCAGATGCCAGGGTTGATGATGTGATGAAAAAAAAAAATCAGTAACAACAACAGAAGACAAAAGAAGTCACGTCTTCAAAACTAGGAAGCCTGAACTCCCCCTCACCTGCAACCAGCTTCCCTCTGTCCGGTCACTTCACTTCCTAACTTCTGCCGGCTTTGCCTTCTCTATTTATGGAGTCCATCCCTGCTTTGTATCACTGGTTTTGTTCAAGCCTCAGCCCAGCTGGCCTGGGTCACCGGGCCGCCTCCCTCAGTTCCTAAGAACCTGCCTCCAATACCCTTGCCTCTCAGATACACCTGCCTAAAGCCAGTGATGATCTAAAGCCCTCATGACTCAAAGTGGGGCCCTCAGATCGGTAGCTTTAACGTCACTTGGAAGCCTGTTAAAAATGCAGAATCGAGACCTGCTGAATCAGAAGCTTCATTTTAACAAGATGCCCTGATGATTCGTGTGCATGTCAAAGTCTGAGAAGCACCAAAGTAAAACAAAACTCTGTTACTCCTGTTTAAAATCGATCCAAGCACAGCCGCCTCCCACCGCCTACGTGCTAAAGCCCGAACTTTTTAAGGTGATGCACAGCCCAGGTGACCTGGCCACTGCCTGGTCTTCAGCCTTGTCCCCCGCTTGGCACATCTGCCCCTGTGACCCCGCTTGTACTGCTTATCCCAGGCTGCTGTTCGCCTCCACACCTTGGCTCCTGCTCAGCCCCCTTCCTCAGACTCCTCTTTCTCATTCTCTAGGCCAGACTGGATGACTGGTTCCACATACTTTGTTCAGGAACTACTCCTTAGGGGCGCCTGGGTGGCTCAGTTGGTTAAGCGAGTGGTTAAGTGACTGCCTTCTGCTCAGGTCATGATCCTGGAGTCCCAGGATTGAGCCCCGCATTGGGCTCTCTGCTCAGTGGGGAGTCTGCTTCTCCCTCTGTCCTTCACCCCACTCAGGCTCTCTCTCTCTCCCTCTCAAATGAATAGATAAAATCTTTTTTAAAAAATGAACTACTCTTTATTTGAGAGAGAGGTTTTTATCTAAGTCTGAAATTCCATACATATCCTGTAATTAATGTGCAGTTTACCTCTTCTGGGAAGCCCTCTCTGACTTCTTTGTACTCTTCATTCCACACACCAGGCTGGGGCCAGCACCCCTTCTCTTAGCTCCTTTTGTCATGCTTCTCACAGATGTGATTTGTGGATTTTAACTCCCCCATTAGCCTGGAGAGCCTGTGAGGTCAGGTCTTTATATCCCAAGCCTTAGCTTAGCATACGGTAGGCACTCAATAAATGTTTGTTGAAGAATGACTGTATCTGTCCAGGCTGCCCACATGCTTCTCCACCTGCCCTCTCTTCTTGGGAACCTGGGATTGTTTTTCTACCCTTGGTTTAATGAGGCCCTTGAGGCCGGCTCCTCCTGCCAACAAGGCTGCCAGCAGGAGACCCAGCTCCGGAAAAAGGGCAGTGAACTCCGGAACTGGCCGGAAAGAGCGGCCCTGCGGTTCCCAGCTCTCCTCCCACCTTTCCCACGATGGAGACAGGCTTCAGGCCCCCAGTGCTGTGCAGTTTGCTCCAGAGTTATCCTAGGGAGGGAGACAGTGGGGTCCTCCCAGGTGTCTTCACTCCCAATGCCACACAACGGACCTGCTTGAGACCATTCTCTGGGAGGTCCTGAGGCAGAGGGGTGAGGTGAAAAGCTCGGGACTTCTCATCAGAAGGCTGCATCTGCCCTTCTGGGATGGCAGTGTTAAAAGAGCCTCTTCTCCAGGGCCAGAAAGATGTAGGATGGCCTCCAAGCCCTAGAGCCTTTAAGGACCAGCTCCCCCGTTGCCCTGTTTCTCCCTATTTCTCAGCTGTGCTCGCTGTGTAGGCAAGGAGGGAGCAGCCCTGAAGTTCCCTGAACTGAGATCTCAGTCTGGTCACTTTTCGTCTCTGGGTGCTGCTGGGAATCAGCTGGGAATCGGCTGGCCTCTCGGCTGGGTTCCTGGAGGGGGACCATTCGTCTAGGAGGAATACGGCAGGGCTAGGTCAGGAAAGGGAGAGAGCGGCTGCATTAGCCTCCTGGCTAACGCCAGGCTGAGGCCCCTGGAGTTGACTTTGTGCCTCTCAGGTTGCAGGACTGCCCTCCCCTCAGACCCTCTGACGAGGAATTGCGTGAGGGTACAGAGTGCTTCCAAGCCCTTCTACCAAAGCCTCGCTTTCTTCTAGGAGCCAGAGGCCAGATAGGATTCCATATTCTCAGACCCTACAGAGTTTATTTTCTCTCTCGGGCCAAGTGGAGTAGTAGCTGGAGGAACAATCCTAATTAGACCTTAGTGCTTTCTGTTTTCCAGGCACTCTTCGAAGCCCCTTATAGGTATTAGTTCTGCCAATCCCACAGCAACCCGATGAGGGAGAGACTACTAATTTTGTCCTCATTTAGCAGATGAAGAAACAAGCTCGGAGACAAAGCAACTTGCCCAAGGTAGCAAGTGCCAGAGCCAGGATCTGAACCCAAGCAGCCTGGCTCCAAAGCCCATGCTCTTCATCACTCTCTCAGAGGGAGATGAGTGTATGCGGCTGTCCCCTGACCCACTCACCTCCTCATTGTTACGCGCCCCCCCCCCCACCATTCCCTCTGGAGGCCACAGCCGCTGCAGGAGATGGAAGGAAAGGAGCCTGGAAGGGCCAGTGCCCCTACAAGGGAGTAAGGGGGCACTCTGGAGGGCCGGTGGCTCAGGTAAGAGCCATGCAAAACCCTGGGCTCTGGAAAGGACGGAGGCCCTTACTGCTTCCATTGTGCAGGGGAAAGACGACTGAATGGCCAGAGCTGGTAGGAGGGAATCTGTTGTTTCGGGATAGGACAGAAACCACAACCCTAAGCTGGCCAGGCCTCCAGGCCCTTCCAGCAGCTAATGACTGCTCCAGAAGGTTCCTGTGTCCTTGTAAGCCTCTTCTGCTAAAGAGCACCTCTCCTCATCACCCCAAGACAAACGTTGAACTATTTGGGAGAAGCTGAGCAATGCAAACAGGATCTCCCAGAGCCACCAAACCATGGGAACATCCCCAGTGAAGAGTCTGAGAGCGGTCAGAGTGGAGCCCCTCAAACTGGGACTAGCTCTGCCCCATTCTCAGCAAGGGAGAGGGGATCTGAAGGCTTAGGGACTGTCCTTTCCAGCCCTCCACCCCCCTCCCCAGGATACAGGGAGATGGAGAGGAAGGGTGGGGAGAGGGCTGCCTCACCAA